GTTATTTAGTTAGTTAGTTAGTTAGTTAGTTAGTTAGTTAGTTAGTTAGTTAGTTAGTTAGTTAGTTAGTTAGTTAGTAATACTTAATAGACTTCTGCCTGTAACTTTGTCACAGCTAAAACCCGATACGACAGGAGCATTTTGTTTTTATTTTTGACAAATTAGACAGTTTACTAGCTTATATCCTGGTTCCGGTACCTCTGACATGGACTTCATAGGAAGCTTCTTTTTCAGGAAACCATGGTTAATTTCCCGGTGTTGTCCGGTTGGGCTCATCTTCTTCAGRCCGTCCAGGAGTTTCTTCAGCTCGGACCTGGTCCAGTTCAACGTGCACTGCCTTCGGGATCTCTTCTTYACCTGTGTCACTTCAAACGGGGTTCGTTTAACGCGAGCGCGGGGAGGTGGCTTCATTTTGGCTTTAGCTTCCGACTTAAGTTCCAGCCTTTTTTATACTCGATCTAAAAATACATTTATAACACGTTTTTGTTCTATATATGAACTCAGATGATTTCTGAACAAACTACCGTGTTTGGTCTCTTCTTCTTCTTCTTCTTCTGATAATTGGCGGATCACAAACAACTAGCAGGTGCATACCGCCACCTACTGTACTGGAGTGTGTAACACTGGTCTGCTCCTACTAAATTCTTAGTTTTTGTTCTGTGCAAATATAAAAGTGCTTTTCTAATATTACTTATGTCTCCCTCTGTTACCATTATTCCTTCCAAATTCCATTATTTTCCTGCCTCTCTAACTTTTCTTTTTAACTTTTCTCTAGTAACACACTTCATCATTACATGTTCCTCACACTGACTGTATTATTGTTCCTTTTTCCCATTATGTACAATGAATCATTTAAATAAGTATGACCTGCCCTCAGTCTCATCATTATTACGTCATCTCTCCTGCTTCTTTCCCCAAGATATTTTGTTATTACTGATTTTTGTATTTTGTATAATTTTCTTCTTTTCTTGTCTTCATCCAACATTTTCTGCTGCAATTCAATTAATTTCCATTGGCTTTTATTATTGATTTACCTTCTCCAACTGTTACTTCAGCCTTCTTCTGCTTATTCTTCTTTTGGTTTCCTTTAAGGCCCTGTCACACTAGATAACTCATGCCAACTTATGAAACCTAAACGTGTCTAAATTGCTAATAAAAGTTGTATATTTGATCATTTATTAGAATTACAGCATGTACATGTCTAAACGAAGKTTCCAGTTGRTTTTTTCAATTCCATCTTCAACGTAGATGTCTTTAAAATTTTCATAAGTTTGCATAGTGTGACAGGGCATTTAATGGTTATTGTTCCTTTATTTTCTGCTTTGTGATTCTTTGTTTGACTGAATTAGATATGATATAGGAAAAATTCACAATTTGGTCCAATTCCATTATTTAGTCCCACTGTTTAATATTTTTCAGTACAAAAAAAGATAAATTTCCATGCCGTTCTTAACTTGTAATTTTTTGAGATTTATTACGAATATTGGTTTAACCTTAAAAGTACAGTTTTTAAATTAAATGTTGCTGAAACAGCAAGTTTCTCAGTGGATCTGTGCTCGACAATGC